TCAGATTTTTAAATGTCAAATTGGCCAGCCGTTTAACATATCTGTTTTTTAACCAAAAGAAGATATTTTCTTTAATTTAAAACATTTATTGAAATTGATTAGATATATGAATAGTCCTACTGAGATAATCCAGAATTATGTTTTCTCACCATCCTCCAGAGTATTCTGTGTCACATGATCCGACATCTGGCTGGCACCCATTGGCATATATGCCACAATGTAGAAAGTATAATTGCTGGCAGGTTCCAAGTCATCAATAATATAATGAGTTGTGTCATTTCCAATGACCACTTGATACTCTTCATTGTTTAACCCTAAATTGAGAATCCATGCTTAAAAATCACAAATGCAATGTTCCAAATAAAATCAAGGACACCATTTTCCCTCACAGTGAAACACTGGTCCTTGGGTCTAATCTTAATCTGTTATCTTTTGTGTCCCCTTACAAATATGAACAGGAAAGTTTTTATTTTCTAAGAGTAGCCACATCTTGCTACAAATTGCTAGTCTGCATCTTTCCTGAGTAAGTCAAACTGAAAAGAATTAATCTCCTCTAAATTTCACTTACCATCTAGTCAGAACCTAGGGCAGGCACAACCCACCAAAGCTTAAAATACAACAGAATAGTGTAATTCATAACCATGTAAATTTTACTTGTTTAAACTCAGATAGTTCCTTTTTTTCTTTTAAACACAAATGGAAAGACAGTAGGGAATACAGTGGCTTTTTCCTTTATAAAAACAAACCACACCAAAAGTTGTTCTGCAAAAGATCTTATTTTGCCCCCAGAGATTCTGTTAAGTTTGACTGACACAGTTGTTCTTTTATTTTATATTGAAAGCAAAAGAACTGGGAGGCACAGAATGTGCCTCAAAGGTTTTGTCCTGCAGTGAGTTTTAATTTTTTTTTTAAGAGAAAAAAAGTTCTCAGCAATTCTTAATAAAATATGCACGGCAAGGTATAGAAGAGGATTTGTCTTTGTGGTATTTAATTCCTACAGAGCAAACCTGTAAAGTGGAACAAGGGTGCTGGCAGCTCCGGAGCTTCGCTAACAATTCACAATGAGCCCACGTCAACTTAATCAAAACTCTCTAAGGGCGGAATCTCTCCCCCCACACACTGGATTTATAAACAAAACAGAAGGCAAATTCCAGTATTAAGTTTTCCCACATTTCTGAATTAACTTGATAGCATTTTAATTAGACAAGATTACAGGCATTTCACAACAGACTGGCTAATGGCTGGTTAATTAGGAGCTGCATAGTACGATTTCTGACCTACCAAACAAGGTCCTAGAGTTCGAATTAAAAAGCCTCCCTCTGTCTCTGAATAGAACACTGAGCGCCATGTGGAGGCTCTAATGAAACAACTATAATAGGGAACAAGAGTGGTCTCCACCAAAACAAGCATTCCTTTTACTTCCGTAAATCACTAAAAAGGGAATTAACATACTCCCACATGGTCCCTTATCAGACTTTCATTCTTCTTGCTACCATGACCCCTGATTTACATTCAAAATATTCCTTTTCAAAACACTACTTCAAAGTACAAAAAACAAACAGCAGCAGCAGCAACACACCACCTGTTTCCGCAGACAATTTTATTCTGTCACTATTCTTTGGGTGTTAGAATTTGTTTTTAATGTTTATTGCATGAAAGTTACGCTGTTTGGATATAGAACTAAAAATGTGGACACCTCTACTGAGGTTTCTATAAAAAATGAATAGAGAAATCTGTAGGATTTATAAGCAGTTTGTTTGTTTTCTCTAAGATTTTGGCCCTAAGTAAAATATAGGGATAAAAAGGATCCCCCAAATGGAACCAATGATTCTGAATATAACTTTAAGACAGACTTGATTTCTACTTTTATATGTGTAATAAATGAGATACCAATAAAGAGTGTCCTGTTTAATTTTCAGAGTCCTATGTGATTTAAGAAAATACTCAAAATATACAAAATCAAGTAGATGAGGAATTTGATAATGTTTACTTTCCTCCTTAAAAATAACATACTATAGTGTCTATGGTTTATTATTTTACTGAACAGTCACACTGCTGTTCCTATGTAACTGCATACTTAAATTGGCATGTTAAGTCTCAGTGAAGGAATGTGTACCTTGGCTG